ATATTACCCATTTATATTGCACTCTTTATATCTATACAGATATATATCTGGCGAATGAGCAAGTGAATAAGAAAATCCATTCTCAAGCAGTTAATAATTTCCCCAAATGTAAGAATATGCTAGATTTCCTATGATTTTTAAATAAGCTCTTTAGTTTTATGATTTTTGGCTAATAATTAGTATATATATTGGACTGGTCTGTGAAAGTCAAAAGTCTGAAGATGGCAAGAAAATATGTACTGTACAAAAACACTATACAGTCCCTTTATATTAACCCTTAGATGTCACAATTACTTATTTGGGCTTTTTCAGTAGGGTAAAGAGTAGAGATGTGCCAAGTGCAAAAATTCAAAGCATCCAATCAGAGATTCAGCAAATTTATAATTAGTGAACACTTTGTCTGGTTTCTATGAACTATTGTGCTTTGCACTGTCTTACTGACTAGGCAGTAGTGTGTTATCTCCTATTCAAGCACACAAAAACTACATATTTTACTGCCAGGAAAAAATAATGGTATTTGACTACCTAAATATTAACCAGTTGCTGGTTAATATTTAGGGTCACGGGAGGACATATACTACCTAAAGCTAAGTATATAGCGAGCTACTGCTCGCTATATACTGAGAGCGCCGCAGCTGGGACGGATCCCGACAATGCTGTTGAGATCCACCCAGCTGCGTGAGTGACAGCTGGCTCACCCTATCTAGAGGCAGAGCCCGCCCCCTCCAACATCCGTTCCTCCAGTCATCGCGGCATCCCTGTGGAGAGCAGTGATTGACAGTCACCGCTCTCTGCAGGGGGGTGATCAGCCTGCAGGGGGATGATCGGTAAGTGGGCTGGCTATGGCATGTGTTTGCTCACTTCCCGATCTATAGAGCCGACCTGTGACGGTTTCAATGTCACACGTGGGCTCGAACTAGGAGGTTGAGTGAAAATCACTCCTTCAAGTCAGGTTCTCCTTTAATTCAGGTCTTAGCACTCTGCTATACCCTCTTTTCTTGTGCACCTGCTCTGTGTTTATAGTTAGGAACTGTTGAAAGCAAGAATTCTTCTGCTGTAAACTTTGAGGATGAATTATTGCACAGTGCCTACAGCTACAGTAGTCAATGGGAATGTACTGACTGCTACGAATATATAAATATTGGCGAATGTCAATAGCCTAGCCATTGCTGCATCTTGAAAAAAGCCACAATCTGTCATTGTCTTTGGCCAGTCGAAGACTTCGTCAGTCATTCAATCGTTTTTCTGTTACATTGCAGCAATTATTTTCTTTTTGAAAGACAGGCGTCACAAAAACATAGATTTCCCATTGTTATATGTGTGGGATATGGGGGATTCCCCCGTTTGCAAAAGTTGACCATACTGGCATAATGTGGCTTTAATCACAATGGAGACTAGCATTAAATTGGAGCCACACTGGGAGCACAGTTACACATTTGATCTGCAAGGCTTTGTTTGTTGATTACCACTGCAGTGTAGATTAGGGAATTCCAAAGACAGGGAATTCCAGGAGCAGGACAACAGGGCTTTCGGTTATAATGAGCTCACCCTCTAAGCTGCAATTCTCTTAAAAACCAAACATGTGCCTAGACTATTTACAGCTACATAGAAGGCAGTAGGCTTTCTGAATGTATAGAATACTGACTAAGCATACAGGATTTGACAAAATAATGCTGTGAAATGAAGCAGATGCTTATTCACTAGGAGACAAGATCATGACATATGACACAAAATGCTTGAAATCTTAGCCAGCATAAAGCAAGGCCCCTATTGGAATTGTATAAAATTTTATCTAGTCAGTATGGCTTTAGAGTTATGCATGTCATTGCAATGAAGTTTATAACTAGTGTAAACAAAGTCCATAAAGCTACTATTAAAAGGCACACTAACAGTATGGTTACTCTGGTAGAAGCTTACAGAAAAAGGAAAAAAAAATGTAACTTTGCTGCTACTTTGCAATGGAGGCAAATTTTACCAGGACACAAAATGGCATCCAATCCCCCTGGCAAGCACACAGAGTGCAATAAAAACATGAAACCCTTGGCCAATCTTAAAAATAAAAAAAAGTATTGGTTGGAGTTTTACTTTAAACGTAATAAACTTTTCACAATCTAGATGTATCTTGAGAGAATCACAAACTGAACCTATATTATATTTTAATGAAGATCTAAACCCAGTCACTAAAATCTAAGCTTTAACCTGTTAATGTTAATCATTCATAAACCAATAAAAAACAAGTGACCCTGTGATGAAGTTCCTAATGCAACTGTCACCCAAGAGTGCTCCTTTGTTGTCACCCTGTTGCATGCACCCCAGGGGAACACCCCAGGATTACAGGTGGCCATGCTGACACTCATTATGAAGCCGACACTGGCACAGGTTCATGTAGACAACCCAAAGTAGCTGCAAAAGGCTGGAGGCGATCAGCAGCACTTAGATGCAACTAGGATGTAAAATGTTTCACTTGTTTATAATACTTAAGCAAACTAAATGTCATTCAGTTAGGATGCATAGCGTTTGCGGTTCCCACATGGTTTTTCGTGCAGAAGACTGCGCGGGTCGAAAACACTAATATTTTGAAATCCGCGTGGGTGCCGCTTGTTTGTGGCTATTAAATAGCTACGAACGTGCGGAACCCGCTGGATTATCGCGCTTGGACTATTGAAGTGCATTGAATTCCGTGTAGAGCGGCTCCACACATATCCGTACAGCCAAATACACACGGACAGCCGCTCAGGTGTGAATGGAGCCTTAGAATGTTGATCCACTTTACAGTGACTTTGTCACTTTTGATAGAGTCACTTCAAAGTTCTAACAAAACAGAACCCGATAATACTGGCCTTCCTTCTGCCTACAATGCCGATATTGTCTCTCTACTGCTGCCAAAAAGTTGCCTGCATACGACACCCTTGTGTCGGATACCTGATCCCCTGCTGAGCATTGTGGTTCCTTCCACTGCCACTACATCATTATTGTGTCCTGTACTGATGTGGGGTTTGGCAAGATTAACCACAGAGGGGGACAGGCATCCAAAACTCCTAGACCAAAACTAAATGAAAAATAGCCTTCAAACAGAAGCTCCAAAACCGAGTGAATGTCGGTGGCGTAGGCAGTGAGATAAGGTAAGGTAAGGGATAAGGTAAGCATTAAAGCAGAAGCAACGTGAGAGGATAAAAAAAAAAGGCTGCATGGTGCTTTTAGCCATAATGTGCTGTGTGTGTGCACAACATATTAACACATTATGGTAGATCTATCTGCCAAAGGGATCCCCTCCTGAGCTATACTCCTCCCTCGCCGCCACTTCCATGTTCTCCCAGTTTGCTTCTGAGTTTTTTAGTCTCTGGCCACTTGTTTGCCTGGGCCCCCGATGACATAATCTTGACATGCTGAGCGTGGGCACTGAGCTGCGCATTTGCAACTCAGTGTACAGGGCAAAACGTGAAATAAAAGGAAAATGCATGTGTGTAATACATGGGTGTAAATATGATTTTTAAAGATGTACAGTACACATATATTTCATCTTATCAATTAATACTGTTTTTGTTTATTAAGTAAATTATGCTCATTACATAATGCAATGGCAAGCTGCAGCCAACAAATACTTTCTAAAATTAAAAGATTTTTTTTTTTTAATGTATAGAAATATAATTCTACCAATTTTTAAAACACTGGTTTGGCCTAGGGATGCACCTAGGGGTGCACCAATACCATTTGCTTGGTATCTAGTACGAGTACCGATATTTTGCTTTCGGTACTCGCCGATTCCAAATACCAATACCGGTGCTTCTGCTGGCATGGAGCCGGCTTTCTCGGGCAATCAGGAAGCCAGGCAGCAGGCAATGACAGACCGCCCACTCCATGTTGTTTGGCCGGTTCGGTGCTGATTGGCTGGGAAGCTGGCTTCCCAGCCAACAGCATCGAGCCGGCTGAACAGCCAGCTGCTCACAAGTACAAATATGTCACATATGTTTCCCATGATCCCTGCGTGTGTTGTAAAGTAACCACCACTCCAAGCTCACTCCCTTGAAGAACTACAATCTCAATACAAATAGTAAAGTAAATGTGAGATCGTAGTCCATCATGGGTGTGAGCTTGGAGCGGTGGCTACTTTACAACACACACAGGGACCATGGAGAACAAAAGGAGCCACCCTCCAGAAGGAAGGACAGTGTCAGCACCAATTCAGAGATGATTTGAGGATCTACAGCTGAGTGATGCACAAATAAGCTACATTATTGTTGATAGTTAAAGTACTTGAATGCATTTCTAAGATTTACCGCCTGAGTTTAGTGTCATTTTAAAGCTACCTACAGACAATAAACAGAATCTGAACTAGTAGATTAATTTTTTTTTTAATATTCACTACCCAGGTATCTAATATT